TTCAGCCAAGAGGTGATCGTGGGATACCAGATCGAAGGCTTTTTTAAAATTGAGGTATACGATGTCAATCTCTTCCCCCTTGTCCAGGTGATACGTCCGCCGGTCATAAAAGGAAATGAGATTGGTCAAGCAAGACCTACCCGCAACAAACCCATGCTGGGTATCCATCAGGATATTGCCTTCAGCTAGTCTGTTAAGGATGGCCTCCTTGATAATCTTTTCTAAGATCTTCCCCAGGATAGAGGTCAGGCTGATGGGCCTGTAGTTTGTCGGATCTACTTTCCTCCCTTTCTAGAAGATAGGCACGACATTGGCCCTCTTCCAGTCATCAGACATTTCACCAGAGCACCAAGAACTCTCAAAGATACGTGCCAGGGGCTGAGTTATGATGCTCGCCAGCTCCCTGAGTACCCTCAGGTGTAACCCATCAGGGCCGGCTGACTTGAAGGTATTCAGCCTGTCGAGGTGTTCCTTCATGAGGTCAGCTTCAATGGAGGGCAAGGAATCTCCCTCGCCTGGGCCTCCTTGACCCATAGTGGGCAGGGCCGTCCCATGGGACTGGTGAAAACCTGATGCAAAGTACCCATTTAGCAAGTTCGCTTTTTCCCGGGTGTCAGTTGTCAGTTGTCCCATCAGGTTTAGCAGGGGTCCAATGTTGCCTTTGCTTTTCCGCCAGCTCCCCACATATCTAAAAAAGGACTTTTTTTATTTTCCTTGATATTTGTAGCTAGCTGGAGTTCCATCACAGCCTTGGCTTTTCTGATTTGCTCTCTGCAAGTCCAGACTAAAGCAGAGTATTCCTCCTTGGTGGCAGTTCCAGTCCTCCATCCTTTGTAGGTCTTCCTTTTAAGATGCAGGAGGTCCGCCAGTTCCCTGGAGAGCCAAGGATCTTGCTTGTCTTACAGGCACATCTGTCACAGCAAAGTAACACTTAGGGCAAAATCATATTACACTTTATGTACCCATATAACTGCCATGTACCACTCAGTTTGCATCCATATTCCCCATGCAGTATGGATGCACAAGTGTCCAAGTGGCTACTGAATATGAGCTGCACTTTGGCCAGGCAGGTACACAACACTATATGAATATATATGAGTGAGCATGTACTGTGGAAGTGTACCAGCAAGTCCAGAAATTGTAGCCAGGCAAAATCTGTGAGTAGCAAGTGTTAGAGGCAGGAGGAAGAACTAGTAGCTAGCATCTAATCTGTGGTCAGAGCAGTATTTTGGGAAGTGAGAGAGATGCAGGCTTAAACCCCTTATAGGTAGGGACCTACCTAAATCATGGCTGAAGTTCAAGGCACAGCTGCACATTTAATCTTACTCTTTTCACTGTGCATCCTCCTCCCCCACATCCTCCCATTGCTGAATGGCTGAGAGGCAATTAACGCTCTGGTTTTTGCACCTTGGCCACTCTGCAGTGGCAGGGGGTGGGAACTTTAGGAACTCCCAGTGCTGGGGAGGAAGCTTAGGCTGTGGTTTATGTTGTGCTAGTATTTTAGACTTACTAATAAACCCCAAGGCAATGCAGTGTTGAGCCAGGAATAGGGGTGAGTTTGGACATAGATACTCATTACATGCCTCAAATCCAGGCCGAGCGGTTTGCTGAGCATGGACTAGGGGCTCACAGCAAAATCAGTCACGCATGTATCCTGCAGCTTTGATATGTGGATTACACCCGGCATTTTGCACGTGCTAACGTTTCCATTCAGAAATTCTGTGGAAGAACTAAATTGGTGTCATCACTGTCATGCCTGTGAAAGCTTTAACAGATAAATTCTAACTGAAAACGAAACTGGAAGTCTGACTAGATTAGGGCTGTCTTGCCTCTGCCAAAGCAGATGCGCGATCACGATGCGCTAGCAATATTCTGATACTTGAAGCCCAAGAGGTTGCTGCTCTGCTTTTACAAGGAGCATAGTGCTCTCATTGAACGCTCAGGGCTGACAACACTGCCAGAAGATCTGCTGGCTGCAGCGAATGTAGTTTCAGGACCAACGTGACCAAATGTTAATTGCTTCAGACTTGGGCTCCTCCCAAGAGGCTCTTCCCCTCCCTGATTCATTGAAAAGGAGCGAAACCTGTCACAGCCTCATGGTGCCTCCCAGTGTTACAGAATTAGGCGTCCGTGCTTACCCTATGGACCTGGCATTCAGCCCACTTGAGGGTAAACACCAGCTAAAACAAAGTACAGAGCAAGCAATTCAGCCTGAGTTACTTGTGCAGTTCAGCAGTGGGATGTTGGAGACTGGTACAAGTTCCCTTGCTGCGTTGCCCAACAATAAGCTGTATGTGTCACAGGCTTGGATGAGGAGGTGAAAAGTCATCCTTTGAGGCAGGTAGTGGCAATATGGTCCCAACAGTGCAGGTGCTGTGCTGTGAACTCAGGAACGTGTGTGTTGCCTTTCACCTGGAGAACGAAGTGGCCAGTCTTGATGTAAATGATCCCTGTAACCTTCCTCTGCCTCCCTCTGAGGAAGAGTCCAGAGGCCTCTCCAGTTACACCCGATCAGAAGAAACTTTGTCCCCAGTCCCTCAGAGCGCGGGGGGACGAATGCAGGTTGTGTAGGAGAGGGGCAGTGACCTTCTTGCTTTGACTTAGGGCACGAATGCCCAGGTGCAAAGCAAAGTGGAGGGGGGCCATGGCGAGGCCCTCGCCCTTCTCTGCAACATGGCCTTCAGTGTGCACACCTGGGAGGACCTGTGCTTGCTCCATGCCAGCCCCCGTGCCTGCCTGTGGAGGAGCACATCTGCTTGCACGAGCCTACCCCCCACCCCCAGGATGCATCCCCCCGCACACGAGTGCAAGGTGTGCAGGTAACTGTCACCCCCGCAGACCTCCCCACCTGCTGGAGGGGGCAGGGCAGGTCCTCCCGGGGCAGCCAGCAGTGCCCGCAAGCCGCGTGGTTGGCGCCGCTTCCCCGCCCCCGCGGGGCAGTGAGTCACTTCCCCGGCCCGGCCGGGCTGAGGCGAGCGGGCGGCGGCGGCGCGGGAGCCGGGAGCGGAGCGGTTTCGGCCTCGGTCAGTCCCGGATCTCATCGCGG